GCCTCCCTCTGCCTTGCTGGGGGTGTCAGGACAGAGATGCTCCTGTGGGCTCTGTCTGGAGTTTGGTTCAGTGCCTTCATAAATCTTCTATAAAATATTCCTGCCGTTCTTTGGTTATTTTCCCATTTCATCCACACATGGATTTAAACACAGGCAGGAGCAGGGAGTGGGTTTTTTTTGGCAAAGCTGAGTTTTAATCAGCTGAAATTCCACAAGGGAGCCCAAGATCAGCGCCCGAGGAGTCAGAGCACCGACTGTGGATGCAGCCCCGCCATTCATTAAACATCAAATAACTGCAATTAATTAGGAGGCCAAGGCAGCTCTTAGAGCACCCGGGGCAGATTTTTGGAGTGCTCCTGGAGGCGATTGTGGCTGTCAGTGCTGGAAACCGCCCGGCTCCTGTGAATCATCCGCCCGGGCCCCACCCAGCCCCACACCACCGGGGTGTTCCTGCATTTGCTGCCCCCGATCCATTGGCAAAGTCGCCCTCATCTTTTCCATGGGCTGCTCGGACAAGCCAGGCTAAACTGAACTCCAGGCATGGCGGGGGAGAGCCCTCCGAGCAAGGGGATGGGGGCAGAGCTGCCTCCCTTCAGCGCTGGGATGCTGGAGGGAAAAGCAGACTTGGGGGAAAAAAATTTAAAAACAAATAAAAAATAAATTTTAAAAAAAATCTACTTATGGCTTAAAATGAGGTCTTGGTTTAAGTAGTGGAGTTTTCTGGCTCTGGGGTTGTAAGCAACAATTTTGTTTGTTTAATCTAGGCACTAATAGGAAATGCGTAAATAGAGCTGGTCGCTGATGGCAGCCTCTGTCAGTAAGGACAAAATTGTGGTTTTTTGGCTAAAACAGCCTCTCCCCATGTCGTCCCCCACACCACAGCCTGCCCCAAGCACCGACTCCCCTCACTAACCCTCGGAGACCAATTTGTGGGCACAGCAGAAGCGGCTGAGGATGTTGCGCCAGCTCCTGCCCGATACCATCTCTCGAAGAGCTACAAAAACCTGATAAAGTTGCTAAAACTGCGCCAGTCTCAGTGTCCCGAAGAAAAGAGCAGAAATGCCACTCACCTTGCTGTGCTTGCCATGCTCCGGGGGAGTCATAGCCGCGCTAGGGAGCAGGAGCAGCCGGCGTCCTGCTTTTATTTCCCACTGATTTTCTCAGCAATCCCAGCGCCTCCTCGTTTAACTTCCACATGGTTTCGGAGCTCTGGAATCCTGCCAGCATCTGCAGCCCGGTCCGGTGGCTGCAGAACAGGAAATCCTGTATTTTCCTTCTCTTCTCTACACCAAACGTGTGCAATTAATGACGTTAAAGCCTCTGGAAAGGACTGGATGGAGACCTCGGATTTCTGTCCCCGCTGGGCACGGGGGCTGTGGGAGGGGATGGTGCCCTTCCCTCCGGCTGCTCCTGCTCCTCTCCACGGTCACTTTGCCCGGGAAAAGCTGTAAAATACAGAAGCAACCTCCCAATAAGTGCTCGCTGAAGGAAAACCGAGTACTCTGCCAGTGTAAGTTACTGGAAGGGAGTAATTTTCCCTCATTTTCTTGGAAGCTTGGTTAGCCTCAGACTATCAAGGCTGCAGGCTAAAGCTGGAGGGTCTGGACTTTATTCCTGACATAATGTGATGGTTTAAGGTGGAGATTTCCCCAAAATACCGTTGTTTAAACGCCCCATAATGTGCATAATTCCCAATCTTTTTCTTTAATTCCTTTAATTCCCTTCCTATATATATATGTATGCACATGTAGAGTTTTTAGCTGTTTTTCTGCCTGCTGAGCATGATCTCCTTTCTGCATGGCCGAAGAAGTGGTATAACTTCATGGTGTGACTTCTGAGCTGCCTCTTTTCCAGCTGAGCAGTTTTCCCTGATATCCAGGGTCACAGCTCATGGCCCAGGGCTTGTACAGATAATTTGGCTGTTGGCAACTTTCCCTTCCTGGAGGTAACATAAAAATAGAAATATTCTTACCCTATATTTTTTAAATGGTTCTGTGACCTCACAAAATTAACAGGAACAGAAATGAAAGGAGGAAGATCTTATAAATTTGTTAGCAGCTCAGGGGCTGGGATCAGGAGTGCAACAGAGCTCTGCCACCCACTCACCCAGCTGCCAGGTCTCCTTGTGCCCAGAAATCACAGAATCTGAGAGTGATTTGGATTGGGGACCTTAAAAACCTTCTGATTCCAACCCCCCTGCCATGGGCAGGGACACCTCCCACTATACCAGGCTGTTCCAAGCCCTGTCCAGCCTTGGACACTGCCAGGGATGGGGCAGCTCCAGCTTCTCAGGGCACTCTAAATCCCCATGGTTCTCATCTCAGAGGATTTGGAAGATGCAAGAGCTCTTTGTCATTCCCAGTTTTCTTCCTGTGCATCTCTTCCAGCAGCTGGTGCCGATCCTGGGAAGAAGGAGCAGCGCTCATGTGTTTGTGGAGCCTTCAGAGAGCACAGAAGGGAGGCTGGCACTGTGCCCTGTCCCTCTCCAGAGGGCAGAGGTTAATCCCAAAGTGAAGGGGTGTTTTATCAGGATATCCTGCCTGGGACATCCTATTTCTGTGTCTGCAGCAGCGTATCCAGCCATCCCTGAGCCCTATTTTTAGGTGTTTGTTTCCAGCTGTGCTGCTGGGGATGGAGAGATCAGTGGATGTTAGACCCAAGCAAGGGCTTTGTAACCAAGCTGAGCCCTTCCTCTGCTTCTTGGCTTTTTGGAGAACTTTTCCAGAGGATCACAACATTCCTGGCCATGAAAAGCTGAGGGATTGACAAACCTCAGTCCTCATCCTTCCACACACACGGATCAACCTCTCCATTCTTCTTTCAACTTGAGCATGTCTTTGTTTAGCATTTCTGTTTCTCTGGCTCATCCCCAAAGTGCCTTTCACACTTGGCAACGTTCTGCTTTCAAAGGCAGAAGACACAAAGGAACTTTTAAAATAACTTTTTAAATAACTGTGAGACTTTATCTAAGGCCTCCAGATAAAGGTCTCTTCTCCTGCAGCCTGGTATCCTGTGGGCAGGGGGCCAAACGCAGATGATCAGCATCTCTCAAGCACCCAGCATTGAGAATATCTGACAGGATGCACCTGAAGGATGTATGAAAAGCAGGGGGAGGAGGAGGTTTGTTCACACAAAGCAGCTTCACCCTTGGAGCGGGGCTGGGTGAGCCCCCAGCTCATTGTCCCTCTCTCTGTCAGACAGAGTTCTCTGCAGGACAGCATTTTGGGAAGCTCTGATTCATTTTACAACAAATAATTGTCAGTGCCTCCCTTACTTTTCTGAGCTAAGCCTTTGTCCAATCCACAAACCCAGCATTTTGGTTAAAATGTACCAGTCATCCCCAAAATCTTTTAAGTGCCATGAAGTGGTTTCATGTTTTTGAACTGTGGGGTTGTTATCCTGCATTTCCAGCATATTTTGTTTTTTCTCTGGGCAGAGAGCTGGTAATTTCATTTAAGGGAAACAAGAGGTACTGCAAGATTCTGCAGTTCAGAATCTGAAGCTGCAGAAAGGCTTTGAATCCCTCAGGAGTTTTTTCCATGTATGTTTGTTCTCATGCACAGGAGGATCCTTTCAAGGAGAGGAGGTACCAGACATCTTCTGCTTAGGATGGGGTGGCACTGCAGAGGAACACATCTGCTTTTGCTAAAAGGTGAACGGCTCATGTTCTAGAGGAAAACAAATGTGTTTGCCCAGGGCTGTGCCTTGGGGACAGGCCAGTGCAGGTGGCTTGGAGACCTCACCACATCTCCATCCTGAGCAGCTCCCTTCAGGGTGAGATCTCCAGCCCCAGGAGCCCTTCAGATCCATCTTTCACACCCCTGTGGAGCTGTACCAAACCTCTTGATTTGGTTAAATTCTGCCTTTCTGTGGCATGTCTGTTAAAACACATTTTTTGCATCTGCCCAAGAAGGAAGAAAAGTATTTTTCTATTCATGAGTCTGAGCAGCAGGACAAGAACAAGAGATAATCCAGGAGCAACATCATGAAATTATATTTCCTCTTGTCAAAATAACAAACATGTTTTTTGGTCACAGGAAATGGGGTGAATTACAGGAACCTGAGCCAGGCTTGTTGTGCCTCTGATTGTGTGAGGCAAAGCAGCCCCTGCAGCCCACGTCCTGGGTCAGATCCAGCACCAGCCAGCTGGGAAGGCAGCTGGAATAGTCTCCTCCTCACTGGAATGCCTGTTTTCTTCTCGTGAGATGCACACTGAGGTTTTGGAGGCCTGAACTAAAGGGTTTGGATATCACACATGGGTTTTTGGACCCCAAATGGATCATCTTGGCTTCAGAAAACTGCAGGTTTTCCCTGATCTCTGCTCTGAGCTGTTGCTCTCTAGGCTGGCCCATCCTGACTGACTTTGCCTGGTTTAAACCCATCTGGCAGCTGAACCCCACTGAGGTGGTTTAGCTCTACCCCAGCCAAAACCAGGGCACTTTCCCCCACACCAGAAGAGGCTTTCAGCCAGAGTTATCTGATGCCCTGCACACCACAGGATTGAAAGTGTTGAGTGTGTGACTTTTCCTCACAGGTTGGGGCTGCAGTATGGAAAATATTCCCCTTTGGGGAACCTAAGGGAGTTCAGAGGGTGAGTGAGGCAGGAAGATGTGGGGAGCTCAGGTGCTTGGGGATGCCATCATGGAGAAGGAGAATGTTATCCCTGATGGAGACACCAAATCCTTGCTAAGGTTATGGGAAGGAGAGGCACTGTCACTCCTGGACATGCAGCAGCTGGAGCAGGTGTTCCCATGCCTTGTCCATCTTCCACTACCTAGGACACCTTCCCATCCTCAAAATACTTCTAAATCTAATAGAAGTATGGTAGATTCAAAAATTAAATAAATAACCACTATTCAGAGTGAAAACAAGTAACAAATCCATTTAAGAATAATAAAGTTGTGTTCCTTCACTTGAACCCTGATCCCAGGAGGAGCTGATCCCATGCAGTTTTCCAGGTACCAGTGATAACTACAAAACTCAGCTGATGTTTGCAAAACAGCCTTTATTTTTTTCTTTTTGAGTATCAGTTCTTGGGAAATAAAACCCACAGAAGGAGCTACAGAGTTCCCATAAGTGGCCTCAGCTTGTTTTCACAAGCTGATCAAGGGAGAAGGGTGCGAAAGTGAAGGGACAGGAAACAGCTCCCAGTCACGTGGAGGCTGAGCACGGTCTATAAAAACCCTCAAAACAAGCACTGAAACTGAACTCTCCTTCTCTGACAACTTTGTACAGAGTGTAGCTTATGAGAGACTGCTGAAGTGACAACAATTGAATTGTGTGAGGTCAACTCTGCCCGTGAGCATCCTCCCCTTTGGAAGGGGACTCCTTGCAGTGTGTAAACATTTATTGTGTCAGTGACATCACAGAGAACACTTCCATCCATCCCAGTGCATCCTACTCAGCCCAAAATCATCTTCTCACACCTGGGAGGAGAACTATGACAGCTTATTGTGTTTAATCAGTGCTTTGCCTTTTAGTGGGAAATGGTTGTTTAAACCCTCATTCTTGGCTTTCCTCCCCACCCTTTTTTGTTTTTGGGGGTTTTTTTTTTGTTTTTTTTTTTTTTTTTTAATTTATTTTGTAAAACAGAGAAGTGGGAAAACACAATATACAGAAAGCATTTGGCTGAGTTAACATTTTAACTTAGTGGAATTGAATGGTTGGAGTTAAAATACACATAGCAAGTGTTTCTGGTATTTTTTCTGGTTTTGTAGCAACTGTTGCAAGACTGTACAAATTGTTCACATTCTTTTGAAAATATACTGATTTCCAAAGGCAATAAACTCGTGACTGTTCAGCCAAATCCATCCCCAGGTATCACGAGATACCCTTGAAGTTACAGAGTGGATGGACTCAGCTGAAGAGCTGTAACTAATTAAAAAGAATCATTCCTTGTCCCTGCTTTGCATAGCTACCTAAAAATGTAAACATTAGGATCACGACAGGACCTGGTGGAAAAAAAATCACAATAGTTTATGACTTTAATTTCTGGTCTATCAGTGAAATCACCTTGGCAAGGACTCCTCTCTTTTTTAAAAGATGCATCAACTGAACAGGTTGAGCTGAGCTTTTTTTGGGGCAGATTCATCTCAGGTACCTCTGGACTGCACACAGAAGGAAGTGAGAACCTGAGTGGTATCACCAGCACCATCAAACCCACCTGCACTGACCCCAGGACCACATGGTCCTGCCCCAAGGGGTCCAAAGGCAAAAGCCACCTGCCCATGTCCACCTTGCCAGCTTGGAGGGGAAGAAAGTCACCTGGAGCAAGGGCAAAAGCCACTCTCTGGATGTTTGAGGAGAATTTGTCTTGCAGAGGGTCTTGCATCAGCTGCAGGTGCAAGTTCTGGGATGTGTCAGCAATTAGGGAGCAAACAAAGGTGGGTGAGGAGGGAAAGGAGGAGCAGGGCAGGAGGGTGAGTGCAGAAAGGGGGAACAGAGATCACTGGTGACCAGTGGGATGCACCAAACTCAGGAGCACAAGGAAACCACCTTCACCTGTCCACAGCCCCACTGCACAAACCACAATGTCCTTTGGTTGCTACTGACCAGTTTTAGGTTCTTGTGTGGTTTTCCCAAAGATCCTTCAGCAGATGTCAGTGTATGAATGTGGGATTTTCTCTGGCTGGATCACAGAGCCTGCAGCTGGGAAAATAGAAGAAAAGTCCAGGACTTTTCCTCCATTTCCCAGCAAAAGCTTTTTCACTCCCTCCTATGTGTTTTCTAGTCCAGTGAGGTCAGGTGGGGGTGGCACAGGGAGGGGGACAGGCACATCAATTGGGTCACTCACCAGTTTCCAACACACCAGTCTTAGACAAGGTTTTATCTTCTATACACTGAAAAATTCCACTGCCACAAAACTCCCTTGGACAAAGCTGCAAGATCTTCCACAACACAGATGGTAATGGAGTATCCCAGACCAGTCTCAGATTTCACATGAAATAGCTTAGTTTCTTCCAAGTGGCTTCCTTGTCATTCCTTCATCGACGAGGCGCTCTCTTTGCTCATGAGCCGGCTCCGGATGGCCATGCTGCTGTGCCTGGAAATCTGTTCCTGGAACTCTGAAGTCATGAAGAAATAGATGATGGGATCCAAGCAGCAGTCGAAGCTGGCAAGGCTCAGGCAGAAGGGCTGGGTGTAGAGCGTGATGGTGCTCAGGAAGCAGTCGGTGATGACATTTTCCTTCACCAACATGTAGAAGAAGAAGTTGATGTGGTAGGGAGCAAAACACACACAGAACACAATGGCACACATGGAAACCATCCTGAGGGCCTTCCTCCTCTCCCCGCTGCTTTCCTCTGGGATATGGAAGCCCCGGATGGAGTCTCTTGTTTTCCACGTGCAGAATAAGATGATGACGAGCGGGCCCACGAAGCCCAGGAGCTCGGCGGCGCCGGTCATCAGCACCGTGCCCACCTTGCTGTCGATCGGCTTCACCTGCAGGTCTGCAAAGCAGCTGGTGGTGTTGGCACCCAGCCCGTGGCTCCTCATGATGGGGAAGGGCACGCAGAGGGCCCCCACCACCAGCCACACCAGGGCGCTGATGGCCGCGTCGTAGCGGCGCTTCCAGCCCTTGGCTCGGAAGGGGTGGTACAGGAAGAAGTAGCGCTGGATGCTGATGCAGGTGAGGAAGCAGATGCTGGCGTACATGTTGAGGTACTTCAGGTAGAAGCAGAGCAAGCACAGGACATCCCCAAAAGGCCAGGTGTGGTTGATGTAGTAGTAGATGCGCAGGGGCAGTGAGAGGACGTGGGCCAGGTCGGCCACGGCCAGGTTGATCATGAAGATGACGGCTTTGCTCTTCCTGCTGAGGAAGCGGCACAGGACCCACAGGGCAGCGCTGTTGGCCAGGAGCCCCGGGATGAAGATGAGGGTGTAGGTGGTGGCATAGAGGCTGCTCTTGAAGGTGATATCTTGACGGGAGCAGCTCTGGTTGCTCTGGCTCATGACTGGGCTGCTGGAAGAGGCTGTGGTGGTGTAGGGTGGATGGGTCATTCCTGTGGAGACAAAAACGGGATGTGAAGGCAAAGGCTCTGCAAGAGTTGTCAGTGCTCAAGTCTGCATTTCCCATTTGGCTGTTCAGCACAAAGCAGAGGTTTGGGAATATTGTCTGCATGAAACATCCTGGAATTGTGTTCAGAGTGCCCTGTCAGAGATCCCACTGCTCCTTCAGGCGTGGGAGACCATTCCTGATGTGTTAGTCCCAGGAGCACAAGTGGAGCTGTGCCACACTGATCACAGAGCAGCAGGAGAAGCTGCCCGTCCTCTGGCCATCTCTTCAAGGTCTCAAGTGGTTTGGTCTCTGGAAGCAAGGTAGGAAAACATGGATGAAAGCAGCATATCCCAGCCTCCACCATGGTCATGGCCCAGTGCTCAGAGTGTGGGTGCCAAGCATTGAATCATGGAATGGTTTGGGTTGGAAAGGACCTACAAGCTCATCCAGTGCCACCCCCTGCCATGGGCAGGGACACCTTCCACTATCCCAGGCTGCTCCAAGCCCCATCCACCCTGGCCTTGAGACTTCCAGGGATATGTTGGGCTGTGTTTGGCATTATGTGGGGGACAGGCCTTCGAGCCTCTCAGAGGACCTCATGGACCCACTTTCTCTGGCATTACGGGCACAAATCACATGCAGAAGGGTAGCAGGGAGCGGACTTGGAAAATGTGACTGTTGTGAACATAGCCAGTGCTGCTGAAGTGTTCTGTTAATGTAGTTAAGCTGATGGAACACACAGAGACCTGGTCACGCCACCAACTTCTATTTCTCATCACCATGGCAGTCTCAGTCTGACTCCTTTTTCCGTCAGATAATTTTACTTTTTAGGTACTGCCAATTTCTGCCTCCCAGCCATCAGCAAAATGCCACGTGTTGAGCTGTTGGGCCACTTTTCTCTTGCTAGCTTTTGTAACCAGGACCAGTAAATTTGATAACTCCTCCTCAGCAAGGCAACACAGGCAGGAGTTGGGGTTTATTGGGGGTTTCCTCCCAGGGTTATAATTCTCATTACAGTGATTCCCTCCTATGTTGAATATAACGGTTGAAAATCAGCTTCATATGGCACTGCAGACACTGATTCACTCCTCTGACTCATTTCCTGCGAGAGGCATTTGCCAGAAAAACTGTCTCTGTAGGTAGAAATTAGTAACTCCTACTCTGTTACTGAAGCTTTTTCCTTCGTGTTACCAAAAGAGTTGAGTTTAGAGCTCCCAGTGACACAGAGCACAAATTGCTGGGTTTTCAGCCTCTCAATCATTGTGGTGCTTACATTTGGCAGCTCATCCAGACTCTGTCCAGGCTGCCAGGGAAGGGTTGGGATTCAGCCCCCAAAACACCCAGACATGGCAAGGTCCCACATGGGACACGGGCAGAGAGCAGGGCCTTGGAACCCTGAACAGATTCTTGCATTTCTTTCTCAGCTTTTCTCTCACATTCCCACATCCCTCAAAAAGCAAGGTCTGTGTGTGTATCTCCTAAAACCTCAGCCTCAGCAGCTCCAGCTGCTCCGAGCATCAGGGAAGTGCTGCCTTTGGGAAGATCTCTGGCTCATCCCCTTCCTTCAGGATGCTGGATCCCAGGCCCTCAGAGCTGCTTTTGTCCCTCCAGCTCCATCCCAGTCCCCCTCCCCACACACAGCTCCAGGACAGGATGCTCTGTTCCCTGTTCCCCATCCCAGCACACCACAGCCTTGCTCCTGCCACGAGGCCAAAACAGGCCCAGGAGGAGGGAAGAGGCTCGAAGTGTGACAGAAACACAGAAGATTCATCTGGCTCATGGCTTTACCTCCCCTAAGAAGCAGCAATGGAGGCCTCCTGCTCTCCATCTGGGAGTTGTCAGGACAGGGAGTGAACAGGGGCTGGGGCTGTTCCTCCCCTCAGTGTGGGAGATGTGGGTTACACCCCATTTCCTGGGAGAGCTGTGAATTTCTGCTGCTCAGGAGGTTTCATCCCTTTCCAGCTGCTGTCCAGCTGGCCATGGCCTTGTCTCTGGTAAAAGCACACCCACTGCTCCTTCTGTCCCTTCAGGTCACCTCTCCCTTTGCCAAGAAACCATTTTCCAAGTCCTCATGTGCCTGTTTTTCCTTGGATATCAAAGCTGGAAGGTCTGGCCTGCTGCTCCTCCAGACACAGCTGGTGGGTGGCCATTAAAACCACACAGGATTAGGTACAACTGCAAAGTGTTGTATTTTAAAGACACTTTTATAATTGATTATCTAATTAAATGCTGGCCAATGTGTGCTTGTTCTTCAGTCCAATGAGTGACAGCAATTTTTTTTTTGGCAATTTTTTGTTCTTCAGTCCAATGAGTGACAGCAGGCAATTTGCTTGTCAAGGTTCTTAAACACAGCTAGGCCTTATTTAGTCCCTTCCAACCCCGAATATTCTGTGATTCTGTGACTTAGGTCTCATGTGACACTAAGAGCAATTGGGGTGATGGGGTGAAGGTCTGCTGACTCAAACTGGGCTCTGACCAGAGGGTTTAGGGCAAACTCTGTGTCCAGCATGTGTCCCTGGAACACGAGGGTGATGCTGAGGGCACACACTCCATCCCAGAGCTCAGCTTGGCTTCCTGGTGGGACAAACCCTGCCCAGAGCATGGAGAGCTTCCCCCTCATCCATCACCTCCCTCTGCTAATTGTCCACAAGGTGTCAGAGTTCATCCAAATCTCATTTCTTGGCTTCTCTAAGATATTTTTCTCACCCCAAGTGTTATCTGAGTGGCAGCAGTGGGACTCTCGTGAGTCCACCTTGCCATCATTTAGGAGAACCCAAACTGAAAATATCCAGTGTTGCTGAATAACTGATATTAGGGAAAAAAATACTCCCAGGAGTGGGCCTGGTTGCTGGTATCTTTTCTGATGATCTTTAAAGGTCTTTTCCAACCTAAATGATTCTGTGATTCAATTTGCAGGTAGAAGAATCCTCAAAAGCTGCAGTTTGGTGGAGAGCATGGAGCTGTGGTGAACCTTGGAGCCAGGACGTTCCAAAACCCATCCTGCAGGTGATGTCCGAGCCCCACCATCCCAGCAGATCTAACTCAGAGATTGGGAAAAGGAGGTGGATGCCCTGGAGTCAGAAAATCCCTCTCTGCATTAGGGAACTCAGGGTCTGAGCAGGGTGACCTGGCTGGCAGTGCACACAATACATTATTACAATTAATATGCATGGGGTGGTGTCTGCTGGCTCATCAGCAGGGCCTTTCTGAGGATTAAGAGTTTCATTGCAAAACCATAAAAACATAATTAAGTTAATAATCTCTTTAATAAAAAGGCACCCAGACATGCATAGTGCACCACAAAATTACTGCATTTCCACCTTTCCTCTCACTTTGGCTCAGACTGAGACTTAATCCCACAGCAGCCCCTTCTCTTCCCGCTTGTGCACAGAAGCAGACACTTGAGATACCACTGAGGGTCCTAAAATTGCATCTCCAAAGTCCTCCACTGCACGGTGGGTGTGCAGCAGGGGCTGCAGAAAACTGAAATCTTCAGTGGATTTCACCAGTGCTCATTTACATCCTGCAGAGGGGTGGCTCTCTCTGCAACATTGCTTTCAGAATATGAATTTTTTTAAAAAAAAACAGTATCAAATAGACACACTGAGATCCAACCACTATTTTTTTAATATTTTTGTGAGATTCTGCATCCCTGATGCTGTTGCAATAAAGATACAAGAAGTGAGCATGTTATTACTGGAGCTTTGGAAACTAAGCATAGCATTCCTAGGCAAAAGATGTTCATCTGGATAGGCTGAGAAGCACAGGGATGTCATTCCAGAGCCCTGGATCTGTCTGAGGTGCCCATCAGAGCCAGGTTAATTGATTGGATTGGGGCACAAACATCTCCACACTCTGCTCTCAATGCATGGCCGTGACACTGAAGTGAAACCTCTGCTCTCGGAGTGGAACATTTTACAGTTAAAGGTGTTTTTTTTGGGTTCTCTTTCACAGAAAAAGAGCAGGTCTGGGCTGTCTGCTGTATTTTCATTTTGCAGCACTGGTGGAACTCTTTCCTGCAGCTCCAGCAGAGAAAGCAACAGCCCACTTGAGGCTCTGGCTCCAGGCTGGGCAAGGGCTGTCCCACGGATGCACTTCCCTCGTGGATGGAATTCCCACGGCTGATGATGCTGGCACTGGAGCCAAAGTCCCTGCATTTTCACTTGACACCAAAAATATGCCCTTGAAAAGAACTCCACTGTCCCTGCACAGCTCCTGCCCCAGCCTGCTGAGGAATCCCCTCCTGCAGATCCCGACATCCTGACTCACCTTCTGTGAGATTCCCTCTTGATCCACCTGCAGAAATCCTGGATTCAGGGGCCACCCACTCTAAATCCTGTCTGTGAGCACCCCACAGGCTGTTTGCTGGGCTCCCAGCAGAGCTGAGCTGAGCTGAGCTGAGCTGAGCTGAGCTGCTGGTGCAAGTGAAAGCAAAGCCAGCAGAAAAGCACCTTTTACAAAGTACAGCTGGAAACCTGCAGACCATGAAGTCAAGTTTACAGCCTTCAGCCCATGAAGTCAAGTTTACAGCCTTCAGCCCATGAAGTTAAGTTTAAGACTTTCAGCCCATGAAGTTTAAAACCTTCAACCCATGAAGTTTAAAACCTTCAGCCCATAAAGTCAAGTTTTAATCCAGACTACAGCCTGAATTAGGAATTAAAACCACCTCAGAATTCTCATTAGCAAATGCAAGTCCAAGCAATCCCGCTATTTTTGTCATCCTGTGTGCCCTCACTATTATCAATTTCCTCCTATTGCTGCTCACTCACAGAGCCTCAGATGGCACAAAGATGGGCAGCACATGGATTTTATTTTATGGCAATATAAATCACCATTGGAAAAAAACAGATTTGCATTTTACCCTTACTGTCAAATATGGCTTTAAAATAAAATACATTCCCAGAGGAATCAGGCAAGAGACAGAAATTATCCCTGATAATGACACTGGAGAACAGTTGGAGCACCGCTAATTGCCCACGCCTGACATTTGTTTTTGCAGGCGCAGCAGCTGCTGTTTGAACTCCTCCATGTGTTCACCCCGAGCAGTGGCACACAAGGAGAGCAGCGGCTGCTGCTGCTGCTGCAGGGCTCCATGTGCCACAAATCTCCTCCTGGCAAGAGCCACCCCCTAAGGAAAAGCCTGAGGAAAGAAAGGGACGTTTCTGCAGGAAGCAGCACAGGCACAGTTCTAGATCTCAAAGAGAAAGTTTAGAGCAGCCTTACCTTGGCAGGCAGAGCCGTGCTCAGCACAGCCGAGTGCTCAGGAGGAAGTGGAACGTCCCCTGCACCACTGTTTACACCAGCGAGGGGACCTGGGTGACATCACGAGGTGCCACAAAAGGTGCTGCTTTTGCCAGTGCTCGGCTGTGGCTCCAGCCCTGCTCCCAGCCCTGCCAGCTCAGTCCTGGTCAGCTGTCCCCACAATGACCCCAGAATGGGGTTACGTGCCTTTGTCCCAGGTGTCTTCTGTCCTGTAGCTCTGTTGGGTTGGCTTGGTCAGCTGTCCCCACAATGACCCCAGAATGGGGTTACGTGCCTTCCCAGGTGTCTTCTGTCCTGTACCTCTGTTGGGTTGGCTCGGCACCCACTGGGAAGATTCCAAGTGGAGTTGGGTGCAGGATACCCCTTCCTCCTCTCCAGCTCTTCCTCCCCTCCAACTCTTCTTCCCCTCCAACTCTTCCTCCCCTCCAGCTCTTCCTCCCCTCCAGCTCTTCCTCCTCTCCAAGCACAGCTCTGAGCAGACCATGGAAACGCTCCTGAGGTTTCTGCCTGCTCCTGCCTGGCAGCTCAGCCCTGCTGTCCCCTCCTGCCCCTGGGGCTGAGGACCTGCTGGGTGCTCTGCTCCAGCTCAGTCCTCCTGCAGATGAGATCTGACTTCCCAATGGCTTTTTTTAGCACAGTGTGAGCCTTGCCTGGCATTTCTCCTGAACTAAATAAGTCCCCAGCTCGGTTTACACTCGCTGGATCTCCCTGCCAAGGGTGGCACTTCTGACATTGCTTCAAGGAATGGGCACAGATCCAGCCTCACCTTATCCCAGGGGATAAATACATGACTGGGGCTACAACTTTACCCCCTCAGAGGATCTCACTGGATTTTCAGAAAGCCACCAGGAATCTGCCCTGCTTTGCCTCTCTGGGATCTGGCTCTCAGCACTCAACTGTCACCAGATGAGCTCTGCTCTGCTGTGGTCTGAGAGTGTGAAATCAAACATCACAGCAGCTCCTTCCTGACATGGGGACAATGGAAGTGTGGAGGTCTGACAGCTCAGAAACCTCAGAAACCCAAAACTGATGGCTCATTCAGGTAATTCCACACGAGCACCCCCTAAAGTGGGTGCTGTGCTTTCTAGACAGTCTCGTTTCCGTCACTTGTCAAAGGAGGTTGGTAGAAGTTGGGAGCTTGCCAGGTGTTTATTTTAAAATTATTTATATGGACCTTGTGAAAAGCAATAGTGAGGTTTTGGCCGGTGCTGCAGTGTTTATCAGCACATCCTGTTTAGCTGATTTTTTTTCCCTCAGCAATGGAAACATATTTGTTGGAATTTATCCAATCACAAAATTGTCTTTCACATAAAATCACCACACTCTGCAGCCTGGCAAGCTGAGAATTTGGGAACAGCAGTTCCCTGACTGACCCCACCAGCATCTGTGGAAAACAAACATTCACAGAATCACAGAATCATGGCATGGTTTGGAAGGGAAAGGAATTTAAAGCTTATCTTGTTCCACCCCCTGCCATGGCAGGGACACCTTCCACTGTCCCAGGTTGCTCCAAGCCCTGTCCAACCTGGCCTTGGACACTTCCAGGGATCCAGGGGCAGCCAGAGCTTCTCTGGGATCCTGTGCCAGGGCCTGCCCACCCTCATTATCAGCACTTCTGCAGATGCTCTTCTCTGCATGAATCTCCATCTAGGACAGGCTTGACTGATCTGAGCAAAAGCCACAATCCTTGTGAAAAAAGGAGAGGGAAAAGATGCAGCTGCTGTTCCTGCCTTTCCCCATGGCCATAAATTGCTCTGGTTTGGGGCAGGTTATTACATGAGAGTTTTAGGACCAAGTAGGAAATTTAAAAGTGCAACTCATTGCACTTGCAGAATATACTGCTGAATTTCTTCTTCCTTAAAGTACAGTTGCAGAGGACCTGAGCCCTGTTTACTGGGGTGGTTTATCAGTTATCCTGCAGACAAGGGCTCAGGAAGTGGCTTTTTCTGCTGATAAACCAGAACTGCCTGGAGATTTTGCAGACAGTTATGTTGGGTCCGATGGAATTTCCCTACAGAGCTCTTTGCCCTTATTCTGAGGGTAAAACTTTGGTTTGTGCAGCGTAAAGGCTCTTCTTCCTCTTGGTTATGGCTTCCCAGAAATATTCATTACCATTACTACCTGGATTAAAGGAGAGCTTGGATCCTGCAAGGCCACCTGGACTTCAGTGCCACCATCATGTGACAGATAATTGAGCAATACCATGGTTTTTAACCCAAAAAAATAGCTCCAGCTTTGCCTGTCTACTGTGCAGATGCTGGGTTTGATGTACAACAATCCCAAATAGAAGTTTCCATGATTTTTCCGCGCTTCTGTTTCCTTTCCAAGTTTTTTTCCCAAATCCAGAATTAAGTGGCTGCTCTGTGGCTTTTTTGTGGTTTAGTCCATAGAACTGTAACTGGTTTTTTAGAGGTTTTCCACATCTATAAGGGAAGAAATCAAATAAGTAAAAACCCCTCCCATAAAACAGATTACAGCCCTTCACTGGGAACCAGAGGAAAAGCAGCTGTATTTCTAAATTATTATTGAGATAGGTATGCAGTTTATGAAAATGTATTATTTAGTATATAGAAAACATTAATATAGTACATTGTATAGTATTATTAATATAGCAATATTCATAATAGTGCATAATTATTAAAATTTTTCTAAAATCACAGAAACCCAGGATGTTTGGATGGGAAGTGACATCAAAGTCAATTCAGCTCCACCCCCTTACATGGGCAGGAACACCTTCCAGTAGTCCAGGTTGCTCCAAGCCCCATTCAGCCTGGCCTTGGACACTTCCAAGGATGGGGCATCCAGTAAAGGATAATAATAATGGATGGAGCAGCCAATAAATAACATCAAGATTTAGATTTCATGTCAGTTTTTTTTTGTTGTTGTTGTTGTCAAGTCAAGCCTTTGGAATGTAGAAAAGCAGACATTCAACAAAAGATCACACCAAGAAATTTATATAAGTTTGGTCAAAAGCTGTACTCTGATAAGGGGAAAATAAATAATTGCATCCTGATTCAGTGATTCTTCCTATAGAGAATATAAAGTATTATTTAAAGGTGAATGAAATGTATATGTGGAGGTTAAACTACATAATAGTGCTGTTTACTTTAATATATCAGATAACAGAAAGAGGAACAGAGAATGACAAACATTTCAAAATTCTTCCCTTCTATTTCTGTTTTTTTTTTTCCTTAAACTGATAATAATTTTTTTTCTTGCAACAAAGAGGAGCAGGAGGCACATGGAAAAAGTCAGAACGGGCTGTTCTGAGAGAAATAACTTCTAATTACCTGCATTTTCTGGCCACTGAAATATCATTGCTCATTAGTGCCCCTCTCTCTGCTGTTACAGAGCTTCAATTGCACCACGTCGTTAACGATTTCCTCTGCCCCCAGTACAGACACACACGTTCCTCCTGTCCAAAAGAGAGGCTGATTCTGTTCCAAAGGAATGGATTTTTAATTCAAACCAGCTCTTTTCCTAACAGAGCTGCCCGGTAGCTGTGTCTCAGCCCATCCCTGTGTCCCACGACAGCCATTCCCTCCCGTGGGCGCTCGGAATGGGGATAAGGAACGAGCTGAAAACACACACCAAGGGTTTCTACAGGAACCAAATATTCCCCCCTGACAGCAGAAAGAGAAAGGAGATCTTGGAATGCTGGTGGCCAAACCCTTGGAAGGTCGCCCTGGGTTTTATTCAGAGCAGCTTGAATCCCTGGAGCTGGAGGAGAGTCTGAGGAGCTTTTCCAGTGGGAGAGCCAAGGTTTGCCAGTGCTGGCCACAAGGATTTGCCCATCAGAACCATTGCTCTTTGTCAGAGTCATTTACTTCCTAAATTTGGGTTTTTAGCAGAAACTAAAAAGGAGAAAATGTGTCTTCCCCTCTAACCAACCAGAGCCTCTGAGAAGTATTTTCCATGCAGCTGATGCTAAAAATAATCATTAGTTTTCTTTGCTGAAACCTCTCCTTCATCCCTTGCAGCTCAGAATCCCTTGACAGACAGATTCCAGCAGCCTTTTTGGAGGGGATAAATGAACATTTTGAGGGAGAGGGACCTGGAAGGAAGAAGAACTCTTAGTTTTTCCTATGGTAGTCTTAATTTCTTTGCCCAGTTTAATTTCTTTACAAAAGTTCTGTTCCCAAGGGGGTCTTTGTAGTGGTGAGTTGCCCTGGAGCAGCTGCCATAAGCTGGCACATGAAATTCCTCTTCCTTAGGTGCACAGGGAATTGAGTGCATTGTTTGTGATCCTTCTGGAGCTTTATGCTAAAGCCATTGATCTCGTTTTCCTGGGGGAGAATCATCAGCACAATCTGGTGAGATCCAGCTAAATGTAAAGGTTATAATTTGTGAATTTAGAGCTTCCAGCAAAAAGAGCTACTGGTGTTGGAACATCAGCCTCAGGGAACCAACTCAGCCTGGAAGTATGTCCTGGAACTCTGTCACCTCTGACCCACAGGTGACTCACCCCTCTGTAGAGGCAGGACAAGTCTGAGAGTCGTGGTGTGAGCTTTGGCACATCCCAAACCATCCTGGGATTCCATGATCCAAAAGCCAGTGTCCCAGATATTGTCTGTGACACTGGTGCAGCCTCCCCACTGGAAGGCTGCAAAGAGAAGGGTGAGAATTTTCATGAGAACTGGAAGGCAAACCCAATTAACTCCGTGGGGAATTCCCGAGACCGGAAAACCCCCTCCCAACAAATATGATCAACCCCAGTCATGTTCTTCATCACATTTTCTTCATGAGGCTCTGCTTCCCCTTTCACTTTGTCTGAAAACAGCGCCAACGACTCCAGCAAACAGAGAACTTGCTTGCATTTAAAATTAGGAGACTTTCAGATGAGATACTGGGGAGAAATCCTTCTCTGTGAGGCTGGGGAGGCCCAGGCCCAGGGTGCCCAGAGAAGCTGTGGCTGCCCCATCCCTGGAGGTGTCCGGGGCCAGGTTGGGCTCATTCTTGTCAGGTTTTTCATGGAATCACAGAACTGTTTGGGCTGGAGGAGACCTTAAATCTCATCTCATCCAACCTCCTGCCATGAGCAGGGACATCTTCCAGGTGTCCACCTAGACTAGGTTGTTCAAATCCCTGTCCAGCCTGGATTTGGAAGCAGTCATTGCCATGCAGGACACGTGTGGGGTGTGTTACAAACATGAACACAGGCTTAGGCCTGGGTCTAACGTATAAATCTGGTCAGAGAAAAAAATTAATTCTGCACCATCAACAACTGACAGCAAGAAATCAACAGCAGCAGTTGTGTCTCAGGTCTGCTCTGGGTGCTCCTGGCTGGGGAAGGACTCCAAGGAAAATGATTCCTGGGGAAAACAGCCTCATGAGACCTTTTATCATTTCAATAAGATTAGAAAGACTGGCAGCACGTACAAATCACAACAGCTACGGCCCAGATTTCACTGGCTGATTGGAATAATGAAAAGCCACGAGATGGCTTTGCTCTATCTCTGCTTCCCGGGATTCTAAACAAGCAGGACAAAGTCCTGGAGCTGGTTTGATTTCCCTGCCCAACAGCAGAGGTGCAGTAATCTGTGCAGATGTTGATGGAACAGCTTGATTTTAGCTCTTCCTGAGAAACATTAGCTCAGCATCATCTGCT